AGCGCTCCGGGCCCCCTCGGCGGAGGTGTGGCGTTTGAAGCGGTGAGGCGGCAGCGCCCGCAGCCGGGCCCGGAGCGGCGGCCAGGAACGGCGAGGGCCCGCGGTGAGCAGCAGGAGGTTTGTTTCCCTCACGCACACCGCACCTTCCTCCCACGACGAGCGTCTTTTGCTTTGGGTGGTCAGTAACAGGAGTAGGGTGGCCCAAAAGAAAATCCTGACTGCCTCAAGTTCTTGAATCCTTGGCAGAGCCTCAAGTACCAGCCTATGTGCAACGCGGGAGGTGCGCTATGAAATGGCTCTGTACCACATCTACAGATTTCCTAAAGCTTTTCATATTTATTATTCTCTAATATTATTTATTACATGGACACAGTCCGGAACAGCCTTCCCCAGGAGAACTGCCTGAGAGGAGGCTGTAGCGAGGTGGGTGTCGGTCTCTTCTCCCAAGTAACAAGCGATAGGACAAGAGGAAATGGCCTCAAGTTGCGCCAGGGGAGGTTTAGACTGGATGTGAGGAAAAATTTCTTCTCCGAAAGGGTTGCCAAGCACTGGAACAGGCTGCCCCGGGAAGTGGTTGAGTCACCATCCCTGGAGGTGTTTAGAAGACGTGTAGATGTGGTGCTTAGGGACATGGTTTAGTGGTGGACTTGGCAGTGCTAGGTTAACGGTTGGACTAGATGATCTTAAAGGTCTTTTCCAACCTAAATTCTGATTCTAACTCTGCTGAGAGCGTTTCTGCTCTCCCCTGCCGTGCTTCTTTTGTAAAATGACTATTTAGTACCCAGTAGCCAGCACAGAGGCCAAACATGACATTGCCCATAATGCTTTCTGCAGCAGAAGTGTCTCCTTACCTAAATTGGAAAATTCATCCTCATTTATGAACAAATTAGCTTCCTTCCACACATGCAATGCCATATATAAAAACCTTTTCATGGAAGTAATTAAGGCAAAAGCTCAGCCTCAAGAGTTTTCAGAGGATTAATATTTGCATGAACTAAAGCCTCAAATATTTAGCATAGTTAAATGTTTTCCATAACATGCCCTTCAGACAAGATCAGCTATTCCTACTATGTAGTATTTCAGTATGTAGTCAGGAAAAAAAGCGCTACATACTCTCATAGCGTTACACCATCTCTTTGAAATTGACAAGGGGGCAATTTGAACAATGCTGTTAGCACTAATGCTTTTGACTGAACATTTCTACAAAGTTATTACCAACTCCAAATACATTTAGTGTCTAGGCTTGTTTAGTTATTTGCAACTGTTCTAGCTAAAAAAAGTTTGTTACGCATTTTTCACCCTCAGTTTTGTGATACAGAAAACATGCACACTCAGAATTTTTTGACTGAAATAGTTTTATTAATAACTACAACTATTAACAACGATTTGGATTATAAATATTGGCAAGCCTAACTTCAGTTATCGTAGGTAAATTCAAGATTTCAGTCGCTGTGTTTTAATACCAATTTCAGTTCCGACACCCAGTCTGGGTCATCCTCCTCGAACTCCCTAAAAACAGATTTCAAAATGTTATTTTGCAAAGCAAAATACAACTTTATAAATCTTTGTTTGCTTTTTTTTCCCCTAAAATTACCCTACAACTAGGAGAAATTATGTTAAAAATATCAACACGAGAGACTTATTTCCTGCAGCACTGTGATTAAGGAACCAATAGGGATTCTCTTCTGAATTTACCCAAGTAAGTTTTATCAAAAGCAAAACCAAATGCATATACTAAGCTACTGCAAATGCATTATTAACAGTTTGCAGCTGAACTGCAGTAATACATGCCTAAGTAGTTCATCTCCAAGTGCCACAAAAATAAACAAAGACATAAACTGAGCTTCTGAGATTCCAAGAAAACCCCCCAAAACATACACACATCTGTAAAATACAGTATTTCTGTTCAGAATGTGTTGACGCACACTGGTCTTTCAAAAACAGAAAAAGTGGGTCACTAACATAAACAGAACATTGAAGTTAAAAAGTTTCTACGAATCTGTCTCAGTAAGTAGGTACCAAAGTGATTTTACTGCCCTATGCATGAAAGAGTAGGAAGAATAATACACAAATACAGCAAACATACCACTAGGCAAGTGGATTTGCCACTGGTTATCTGATTTCAAGGTCAGAGTACACAGACGTTTCATGCAACAAGGTTTTACACTTCACTGTGGATCTGATTTCACCTCATGCTTTCATTTTTGCAAAGTCATCAGCAAAAACAATCTCCTGATAACAAGCAACCTGTTTAATCTCAACACTATCAACAACTATAAATATAGCAAAGAAAACCTGATATCAAATCGGATATCAGATATCAAATAAGATATCAAATGGTACTAAATTTTAATATTATGTAAGAGAGGGATGGATTTAGATGTCGAGAAAAATACTGATTTTTTTTTTTAGGGGAATGTCTTTTGGAAAAATCACTTTAAGGAACCAAAGAAAACAAAAATACAAGGATGTCATTTGGACGTACGTGTCATCTTCATCAGATCTAGACTCAAGTCCCTCAGAATCTATGGCAATAGCTTCATGTTCACCATCTACTTCATCAGATGCTTCAGTTTCATCGGAAAGTGGACCTCTAAATATATTTTCAGAAGCTTTGAAAGTATAAAAATGAAAAATGTCACCAAAATCCTTTAATTTTAAAAATAAAATTATTAAGATTATAAATACAATATAGTCTTTCTAACTCGTCTCCAGTTCTTAGCAGATTCCAATACAAGCTGTTACCTATTTTAAGTGGGGAAATAAACTAATAACACAACTGAAGTGCAGACCAAGTATTTATGACTGTGGTTGTGCACATCTATAGACTACAGTTATTTTTTGCCGTGCCATCTTACCATCCTGTCTTCAAAACAGGGCACTACTGATTTAGTAAAGATGTATGTACCTGATGGGGCTACAGCCCATTTATTGCACCTCCCTAACGCATACACCAGGCCGCTTAGCAGGATGGAGACTGAGACTGCACGGCTCTGCAGTCGCTGCATTTATGTCACAACCTTATGCAGCTATTGAGCTGCAAGTGAAAGTTCTTCATAAAGAGATGTGGTGGAGATGTACAATCACTCATGAATTCTCAGCTTGGGTTTTTGTAATCCCACATTTCATTGGGCAAACTTTAAAAAAACCAAACCAGCCTGTTGTGACATGAACTCAAGTGCACAAGCTCTATACATAGTGGCTATGTATGGAAAAAAAAAAAAAAAGTCTTTATTAATAAACCTGTTTGCAAAAATGTTTGCCCACAAACTGGGAATTTACCTGGTTTATAAATTGTGTATGTTTTAAATGCTAAGCTGACATCTGCATTACTGAGAATGTTCATCAGGGTCTGAGGAGTTTCCTTGTTCCACTGCTTACGTGGCTTTTTTTCACTGTAGTTTATAACACAGCCACCTAGGTATAAAATCATTAATAAATACTACTTAGACAAAATTGCATTAGCAGTGTGGATTACAAAGATCACATTCAAGAGAGAAATACAGCAAGAAAAGAGTCTAGATGTTTCCCATCTGTAGCACTGCTGACC